AGCTAGAGTTTAGATATTAAGCATGAAACTTCTTCTAGTAAGTGTCTACAAAGTTTGTGCAAATAAAAGCCCTGGGGTCAAAACTGGTCCCGCCCAAGGGGTTTCATTGTTTTTAATTATATGTGTTTAGTAAAATCTTAAAAATAAGTTCTAACGCCTGCAGAGTCCTTGGGAACGATTGGTGCCCGAGCCCGGTTGGGCGTTACCCTATATTATATAATGAATGCGTCATACGATAATAATGTTTTGACCACATTGTTAGCTGAAACAGGAACTAAAACACATTAAGAGTGAAACGCTACTATATCTTTTCTAAGATGTCGTTAGGTATGTTCATGTTAAGGTGGTAGTAGATACTCATTCCCAGGACGATATTCAATACGTGATTCAAAATATTGTAAACAAACACGCTTCCTTGTATAACGTGCACAAAATCCGTAATTTCGTGTTTTAGTTATGATGTCGTAAAATGATCATAAATGGAGTGATTAAAAAATGCAAAATTGAAAATATATCTTAGGCACGTTTTAATTAAGCCTTTCATTGACAATAGTTGTAAATGAAAGCTATCATTCATGACCCCTATTACCGACTTAAGTAGAATAAGGAAATAGATACCAATTTTGAGTGCAATGATGTAGAATAATGCATTGTTTGAGTTCAAATGCGTATAAAAATAATCACGAAGGCCGAAATACCTGAGTGATTAATTACAAAGCATTTGAACAAAAAAAGCGTTCATTGTAGGAGCACATTTGTCTTTGAGCACATTTGTCTTACTTAAGACCGATGCAGTCGCATTTGTTCCACATGCGTAAATGGGATCCAAATGTCTACCCAAAAGTTATTATTTGTGTGACAAATGTGCTCCGATCAAGTTTTTTAAGGGACAAGAAAGCATATTTGTCTCATGTTTTTTTTTAAAAGACAAGAAAGCACATTTGTCTCGTGTCATTTTTATAAATTATTTGACACATATTTTTCACGGCAGCAATGTTTTCGCCGTTTGACCTCATGTCAAGTGTTATCATCAATAGGTTTGCTAATGCTTTTTATGAAATCTTAAACCTTAAACCAACAGTGGAACTATTAATTCTAATATCTTTTATTCAAGAAATTTGATTGGCTGAACCTGAAGGCATACAAAGAAACATACGGGATCCCGTTCACGATGGTACAATGGGGAAAGCGCAATGGTACGATGATGAAACGCGATGATCCGATGGTGAAATTACGATAATACGAACTTGAAACAACGATTGTACGATGGTGAAACAGTGATAGTATCATGGTGAAAACACGATGTTATGATGGTGAAAATACGATGGTACGATGATGAAACTTCGATGGCATGATGATGAAAACGCGATATTATTTTCACAATCGTTTCATCGCATAATCGTGATTTCACCATCATGCTATCGTTGTTTCATCGTTTTATCATCGTGCCATAGTGCTTTCATCATCTTACCATCGCATTATCGCGCTTTCACCATTGTACAATCGTGAATAAACGTTCAGGGAGACAAATAATGTTACTTATGTCAAAACTGAACATCGTGATCGGGCGATATTCAAATATCTCGAAACAAAACAAAACAATATCTCCACTCGTTTTTCATCTCGCAGGAATCATGCGTTTCGCTTCTAATCTCGTATGTCGAACACATCTGTTTTATTTCCAATTTGTTGCAAATATGAATGTTTTCGAGCACATCAGTCACACCTCGTGCGACAATTGTGCTCCGAGACAAATGTGCTCATACAATGCATTATTATACTATATTGCACGAAGAATTAATGTCTATTTCCATTCTAACACGTCAAACAAATATAATAATTATTATATAGTTGGACTATAATTTTGGTGGTTAAATTCGTTTTCGTCTCAGAGTTTCCAATAGAAATGTTCTTTAAAGGCTGTTCCAGCGGGTTGAAAAAGCTGTCGTTAAGTCAACCGTGTGTTTAAACATTTATAAAACGACGAACTTTGAAAACGTTGATAAAACTTTGTTTGTTTATTTTATTTCACTCTATATTTTTCAAGCGAAATACAAAGTATTTATAGTGAAATAAATGTGAATTTAACTCGTTTGCGACATTGAAATAGCGTTCTTATTTGATTGTTTTGCACGTGTTATTTGACGCTACATTGTGACGTCACGTTAACAACACTTTAAACGTCTGCAACCGAGCGTAGAACTGATTTCCTCGACTTAGACCACATGATCAATCACTGATCACGTAATATACACATCAGTGATCCGCTAGTTTATGTGCGACATAACGTTGATACATACATTCTGCGGCTATACTACGTGACGTAAAAGCACAAAACACAAACACAGCTTTGCAATGGGCAAGGCTTGCGATAGAACCTATACAAATGTTAGAAAGGAAGTTTTTTAATTCGAATTATTCTTAACAATACAGCATACAATTACAAGTTTAACTGTTCAGTAAGAAAAAGTTTTTTCTCTATCTAAGAATCATCTATATAACCTTCTTTGGCCAAATCAGATTTCCAGCGACCATGTTGCTTTAAACACCTATCTGAAATACCTTCTGCATTAGCAGTGGTGCTTGCACCGCTTGCTCTCAGTGAAATGAATGCGTTCATAAATGTATATCCGGTAAAAAAAGCGTTAACTTAGAAACGATACACTCTTTTGCACGAGTATACCTCGACTTTTTATTTCCATAAATTAGAAAACATTTTTGACATGACCTACAAGCAGGCCTAAAATGTAAGAATAAGAATTAAACTCCTCATTGATGCAGTCTAAATACCTTTGTAACATTATTAATGGACAGGCTGAAGTTTGATCTTACTTCGTTGCCACCCCTGTATACATCACTTTTTACTTTTACTTTTACTTGATTGACAAAGCCAAATATTCACTCTCGATACTTATATCATTAAGACGTAAATTACTGACCTCATCAAAACGCAAAATAACTTGCATAACTTAAATCACAAAATCATGGTTAAATCACGGCGTACAATAACATCCGAGTAGTCTGAAAACATAGTTCCTTTAAGTGATCAGAACTTATAATGTCCTTCTTTGTTCTGGGTCTAGAGTTGGCACGCTTTGCACACTCTTACATATATTTTATGATAGCGTTCCCGGATCTGCGAAGTCATTATATTATGATATCATTTAATGCCGTAAAATGCCCCCGTAATTACACTGTCTGACTGACCAAAATCTATCAAATTTAATAGATACATGGCTACGTGATTAAATTTGTGGAATGGCACAACAATCCCTTCTTTGAACAGAAATTTTTAAAAGCTTTTACTTGGTATGTACATTTGTCCACTGCGCTATCCACCTAGAATCTAATATATGTACAACCATTCTGTCTATAACCTTTTGTTCTTCGTTTATTTTTACGATGGCATCATGAAACTCCCTTTTGAGTGTTTGTCTAAAGCCCGAACCTGAAAGCATAATTCAGTATTTATAACTCTTAAAAACTAAGAACATAACTGTAAACAAACTAAACTGTCGCTTTATCCTGTCGTTTCATCCTGAAACTGAAAGATTCCTTATTAAAAACTCTGTTGTTTCCTTTTCCCTTTGTTATCACCTCTCACCGGTAAAACATCATAATCCTCCATAAACGTTTTAAAACTACCATTTATATTTTTTAATAAATGCCAAAATGATGAAGATTTCCACTCAGAAATTTCTAAAGTGCCTTTACATTTTTCCTTTTCTAACTTATCTGTACACTGGGTCACCATACTAGGCGATGGAACTAACCAATCGTCGTTAGACCAAATTTGTGTCAAACGATTAACTGCTTCCGAACCTGGTACCAACCATTTTGAATAACATCTTTTACAATTGTTATTGTAATGTGTGAAAAAACTTATCAATGGTAAATGGACCCCATTTTACATTTAAATATCGAAACACATCTTTATTTACAGATCAGTCATCACTATCAAAACATCTGCTAAGAAAGGCATTTTCTGCATTTCCACTTCTGGGTATCCATTTTACTATAAAATGTATGCCATTTGAATCACAAACATCGTGTATTTCTATAAATCATCAATGAAGCTGCCTTAATTCAAAATTAATTTGACATACACATTGTCTGTGTAAAAATGCTAAAACTATGTTATTTTTGCGCAAATTTGTAAATTGGTTCACAACACTCTATGAATAGCCTCAATGAATCTTCCTAGAAGATCCTCGTTGTTTGCCCTTACAACCTCCTTAACTTTCTCCTCAAGGTCAGGGTATCGCATTGTAACATGGCCAGCAATTGGCTGAAACAAGTGCAGGGAAAACCGCACGATTCAATTAGACATGAGGTGATTGGATGAAAATTGGATGTTTTTAAGTATGAAAACTAGTTTCTAAACTAACACTATATTGTTTTCTGAAGCAAATGAAATATTTCATAAGTCTCTATGATAATTTGTGACTTGGATATTTGCATTTATAAAAAAGTGTATGTCAGTCCTGTGATCAGCAGAAAATTTCAATGAAAATGGGGGTAATCCTCTTTGAATTCAGTTTGCAAAAAATTTGGCTGGCTACCCCTATATAACAGGAACATTTTTATGTGTCAGGCATTTCATTCTGCTAGAAAAATCACCTCTTTAGCATGAAAACTCAATTTTAAGGTAGGTAGTTCTTATAATGTAAGTCTATGGAAATATCAATGTGAGTGTCTGACCTCAATAAAGCCCGACATCTACGCTCTATTCATGGCTAATGAAAATTGTCCTTCACAATCGAAACCGACTGATTTACTCGAGCATAATTACCGCTTAAAATCACTTGACCAATCACTGATCACGTGATATACATGTATGCATCAGTGATCCGCGCACTAGTTTATGTGCGACATATCTTTGAGACACACGTTCTGCGGTTATACTACGTAACGCGCAGAAATAAAAATTATGAGGTAATTAAATGGTTACAAAATGTTTGCAAAATATTTTTAACCATGCTGTTCATTGGTTAACATAATAACAAAAGCTTTCAGCAGTATTTATATTTGCCTTCTTCCGCCTAATGTGATAGTTTGTGATGATGGTGTAGGGAGTGGGAGTATACATTGTAAGTTATTATTAATTTATTTACCTTAATTTTGATATGACATTTGTTTAACATTAACATAATTGACAATGATTTTGTCTATATTCATACATATTTAATGTAGACCATCTTTTTATTTGGTATTTTTGTATTTTCAGTTTTTGAACTAGGTTAAATATCAGAGTCCTGAATGTGGCAAATATTATTTTATTCGTAAAAATTGTGTTAAATTACAAGTATTATCACTGCGCAAATTAGTAAATGTTGCTTATGCTTCAGAGGGATCTATCTTTTCTGGATTTTTTTTTCAATTAAAATTTTACAAATTAGTTTTTTTAAGCGGTCAATATCATCTGAATGTTATTTAAATGGTTGAAACTAAATTCATCTTTCAAATTTTGTTTTAGATATTTTGCCTTATTTCTTATCACATGGTGTTAATATTTGATAACAACTTATTATAAAAAACATTAAACAAAACATAAATAGTTTGCATAGATCAGAAGAAATACAAAAAATGTAAATTTGAATAAGGTTATGAGATCAATTTTCCCAGAACTTATTTATAATTTATTCTTTGTCTGCACTGTCCCCTTTTTTTACGTAGGCAAGTCATATTTGCCTTAAATGCAGTATTCCATTTCGAATGATGAAACAGATTAAGCTGCAGCAGATAATGTTTTAATGTTTTAAGCAACGTAAAGTTATATAAGATTTTATTTCGATATTTTTACATCCATTTGATATCTTAATTGTACTTATCAGTGCATGTATTTATTTGATCGTTAGCAATATTTTTTGATTTGTGGCAACTCTTTTTCGTAATATGTATTAACTCATAGACCGTTCTGTATGATAAAAGGTTTATTTTGATAAATTGACAACCATTTAACATCTTAATTGTACTTATAAGCATATGTCTTTATATGTTCTTTGTCAATGATTTGTTTTCAGGCATCTCTATGTTTATTCATACATAGACTACACTTGTCTGCCAGAAAAGAATAGTGTGAACAACTTTACACACTTGCAAAATGAGGCCTATTTTATTTCTAATAGGTAAGTCAATTTCATTTGTAAACATTTATTTGTAAAAAAGCATGATGCAAAAATGATTGTATCATTATGTTAAGAAATAAATTTATCCCAACAGTCGCACAACATTCAACATCGCCTGACAAATTTAAATAAGCTTGGTTTTACATTTTTGAAAAGATTTTATCTCCATCATTACAACAAACACGAAGACGGGTTAACTTTAAGCTTAAAAGATAATAAAATACTTCATTCAAATTGTAGATTTGACACGGCATTTTATCTAAAGTATCATCTTGGAACAAAACTTACACCATCATTTGTTTCTTCAGGTTGGTTATTCATCGTTGCTGTATTTGAAATCAGTGGAGCACGTATGTAGCATCTTCAGTTTTCTTAAATTAAACGCATTTCAAATACCATTAGGCAACTACTATAATAATGCGTGAATAGGAAAAATTTAACAATAGCACGCATCGTGTCTTCTTAAATTCCCTGAGCAGTTTGAAACTTATCTTTGTTAAAAATATCACAATTAAAGATGTAGTTATCGGTCATAATGGCATTCTTTTATAGAACAATTTATACTCAGTATAATTGTAATTGTGTCCATATGTTTATTCAAATGCATAGTATAAACATAGTTTCTTCTTTAAAAATTCGAAAGATACCGAGTCAATATAAGCTGCGTTATGTCTACGAATGACATAATCAGTACAATTTATTTTCATTTTTAAATAAATAACATTTTATAATGTTTATGTAACAAATGAATTAAATCAAAATGTTTTTTTTAGATTACTTGGAGTGTTTCAGTTGTACTGATGCTCTGAGTTTACACGAATGTAAATTAGTGGAAACATGCGAGGAACGCCAGGTAAGATACAATCATTAAAAAAATATGCAGAAGTTACGATTATTTGTTTAAGGAAATAATTATACACGTTTGATTTGATCTTGATAACGATTTTGATCGAAATAAGGGATGCAAATAAATAAATAAATAAATAAATTTATAAATTAATAAATAAACTAATAAATACATTAAAGAAAAATAAATAAAATAATTAATAAATTAATTAATATAATAAATAAATAAGAATAGATAAAAATAGAAGTAGTCTACAAATGATAAATTCGATTGTAAATATGTAAATAAAAAAAACAAATAATGAATTAATTAAAATATGTAAATAGTCAATTAATAATTACTTATTATATGTGCATAATTTATAAATTAATAATTGATTAATTAATAATTATTTAATAAATATATTGCAGTATGTGCATCAATAATTTTTAATTTGCCAGAGACGTATGCGTATTTTCTGACACAATTTGATATACCATGTATAAGGTTCTGCTATTTTTTTTATTTGTGCATTAATAGCTTTGTTGTTCTTAGATTCCGTTTATCTATTCAAAGGTTTGTTTCAAAAGACGAGAATATAAAGGCCAGGTTCAGTATGACATGGGATGCATTGACAAAGAGGTAAATAAGACACATTGTTGTCAGTGACATTTATAGAAAATATCCAAGCATATTTTGAAAAAAAAAGATGAAAAATTATGTCGGTTTTGCAAACGAATATTAATAAAGCTTTTGAACAAAACATTCTATTTTTTATTGAATGGTCAATACATTCGCTTTATTCTGGCTAAAGTAAAAACATTAATTTTACCTTACCCTTTTCTTAAATTGTTTGAAAACTGTCTTTAAATCTTTTTTTTCAGAGTTGTGGCAGATATACAACGCGTCTAAATTCTTCCGAAATTGCTAAAATGAGCGTTGATAAGTCGAGTTTTTGTTACGAATGTTGCTCGAAGGATAAATGTAACGGAAATCTATGTACTTACCCTCCTCGTAAGAACCATTCGTTATAAGTGTATGTTTTGAAACAGCAAGTTCAACAATTAAACTGCATAAATGATAAAACAATTTAAATAGTATAAATACTTATTCGTTACAGATAGCTACCTCATGCCAACCTAATTAATTTATATGACACAAGCTTTGGTAAGAATTAGTAATATATATCGTTGTAAAATAATATTTAACTTAAAAGAAAATAAAGTTTGTTTTAGTGTAAGATGATGCCATGATGCATTTGCTGCACAAAAGTGAGAGAGATATGTGAATAACTCCATTATATTAGTCGCATAATTTGTTTTGCAATATGATACCACTTTTCCATTCATTTGTTTTCATTTGTTTCTTTTCCTTTCCTGAACAATCGTTTTACATCTACAGTTACACTATAATATGTTTTGGACAACAATTATTTTGATCAATTACTTTATGTATGCAGTTGTTGTGCAACAATTTTATCATGATTATTTACTTGTTTTAGCCTCCCTTTGTCAAGATGACAAGTCGGTGGATTGTGCTAAATTGAACTCGATGTTTGATATTTGTAAGGTTACAAGTAATGCAAAGAAAATATGTCCGCGCTATTGCAATCTCTGTGATTTGGGTTTGTAAACTTTATGTATATATTTGAAGTAACAGCTTTTTATGTATCTTCGGAATACAAAATGTTGCAAAAACGTCTGCAAAATGTTTAACCATGCTAAATTAATTCATATCCTCGTGGGATCTCCCTTGTTAAGATTTCTTTTGTCCTCTTACAATGTATTTGAAATTAATAGATGAAATAAACGCGCTCTAAACAGATTATGGTTTATTAAGATTTAGCTTATGGTTATCATTTAGGTTTTACGTCACGTTTGACAAAAAATCATTGAATCAAAGTCTACGAGGTTAAACTCCGGTCTAACTTATTTTTAACATTGATAAAAGTTTCCTAAAGCCTAATGGTTTACTCACTGAAGGGTTATTGAGACACCTACCTATCCCATCATTTTTATTGTTTAAACTGTTTTCATGTTTCCGTTTAACATCCTTGGAAAATTACGGAAATTGAAATCGCACAATTAAGTCTAGTGCAAAATTTTACTTAAAGAGATAAAATACATTTCCAAATAATTTAAATTTTATCATGACACTTATGTGTAACTCGCAGTGGACGGAAATTGGTCTCTCTGGTCATCATGGACATCATGTGATGTCACTTGTGGTTCAGGATCTCTGTTACGACATCGAACATGTACTAACCCAGCACCACAAAACGGAGGCATTGATTGTCCGGGGAATGGAACTCAGAAAAAAACATGTCAACTAAAGTTATGCCCAGGTAATGAAACACTAGGTGCAAAGAAATATTCACGCTTTCTAAATATTTTTGGTTAATTAGCCGAATATGTTATGTTTGTAACGCGAATATATTCAATTTTTAACGCACATGTTATTCTCTACAGAAGAGCTTTACTTTTGCCATTCGTACATTGTAATAACATGTCTTTTAAAATGATTTTACACCGTTTAATGAATAGAGCTTTAAAAGAACGAACAGTACGGATGTATGATTAACTACTGCATTATAACATTACGATAACGTTACAGTACACGGTGGTTGGAGTTCATGGGATAATTGGGGAACGTGCTCCGCCACTTGTGATGTAGGAATGAGAAGCCGAAAACGGTTTTGTACTAATCCACGTCCACAGCGTTTTGGGGACCACTGTTTTGGTGACAGTATTGAAGATGAACTGTGTAACACAGGATCTTGTGCAGGTTTTACTATTTTGATTGCGTTTTTCGCTGCACCAGCACAGTAAAGCTCAAATAGCTACTTTACAGCTTAACTGGTGGAGAAAGACATCAAATGGCCTTCCGTGGATTATTTAGTTTCCACCACATTTAGGAACCACCGACATTCCGTAAACTAGCTAGATGCTTTCTTCACATTACAAAATCCAAAATCTCCGTTGAGATTCGAACTCATAGCGGCGAGGGGCAAGTGATTGAAAGCCATTCAGCCACGGACGCTCTTGAAAGTTAAACGTATGCTTAAATTGTCATGTGCACAGGATAAGCATCTAATTTCAACATTCCATAAGAAATATGATGAAAAGTCGTTTCATCTTTTTTCTTAAGGATTTTTAAATGCAAAATTAAGTTCATTGATCTAGTTTGTATGTTTAACCAGATTATGTTACTAGATAGGAAACATAACGGTTACCATCTATTATTTTTATTTTGAAACCTTACATTGTGAATGTTTCAAATCAACTACATAAGGAAACTATTTTATACGCGCTGTAACACCGCACTTTGGGGTCAAACGCACTTTGGGGTCCGACCCCAAAGTGCGTTACGTACTTTGGGGTCCGACCCTAGAGTGCGTTACGCACTTTGGGGTCCAATTTCGACCCCAAAGTGCGTTAAACAGGTACATATGCATTTTTTAACATCAGGCAAACGACCGCACTTTGGGGTCATAGAAAATTAATGTTCATTATGTTTTAAATAATATATTGTAGTCAAAGCCAATGGCAAACAAAAAATCAAGGTATTAAATAGACACAAACATGTGACCTGAATTATAGTAGAATCAATAGAGATTTAAATGATCTTGATTAGTATGTGAAGAACTTTCACCAAATAAATCACTAGATAAAGAATTTGTATCGAATTTTTAAATATTTTTTCTCAAATTTTCCATTTATTTTAAAAGAATGCACACCTTTCATTAACTCCATTGTTTTTAGCTAAATGCTTTATTTTCCCGTTTGTTATTTACACATTTTATAAAAATATGATAGTCTTAGCATAGACAAAGGTATAAATTCTGGGAAATCTTAGTAAAGGCCTCAACAGACGGTAGGATTTAGTTGTACAGCACTAATTAGAGAAAAGATGTACAATTTTCAAAGCTATACAACACTTGCATTCAGACGGTAATTCTACACTGTAAGAATCATCTGAGGTTACCCCTAAAAAGGATCCCTTTACATTGATCCTTTACATACTTTACTCACTAAATACTTTTTCGCCATGAGTAATGATTGAAACACCTCCATTTAAAAAAAAATATATATATTTAATGTGAAGCCTGACCGAGACTCAAACCTTGGACCCTCGGAATACCGTACTGCGGCTCTGCTGACTAAGCTATCTGGTCGCCTACAAAATACCTCCCCTCCCCTACTTAGAGAACAATTCAATACCGTGATACCGTGATATAATCATTTTCGGAATAATTTGGGATTCGAACATAACACAACTTTGGGTCTCCTGAAGAGTTTTTCAACATCATTTTTACCCCATCTTACTACTATGTTTACCTTTTAGCCCTAATTGCTCTGGAATTTCATTCATTACACCCATTATCAAGAGATAATTTGGTTATCTGTTACTTGTCATTGTAGGAGGTCTGTAAAAATCGGTACGACAAGATTTTCAAAATAGAACATGTCCTATCCCTTACATCTAGACATAAGGTTTCCGAAATCAAGAAATAGTAGCCTTCACACATTAAGATTTGTCTGTACATCTTAGTTTTAATTGGTGTTGTACTTCAAAATCCTACTGTCTGTTGAGGCCTTAAGACATTTCAGTAAAAAATGTGCCTGATAATATGTTGAAAGAGCCATTAATTCAGCTAAATGTGACATATAAGAAACTTGACTAGGTATACGAGCCCTATTGCGGCTTTAAGTCCGTACAGGCAGTACTAAAAATATCAACTATGTAAGTAGTCGCACATTAAGAGTGGAGCTTCAGAATAATGTAAAATTCTCACTTGGGGTATAAAGGGGATTGTGGGGTATTGATCCCCCCGAGGATTAAAAATACCGTTTAAAGGCGCATTATGCTTTTATTTGTTTTTCTTAAAAGCCGTTTTTTGCTTTTGGCAATGATGAGTACAGTTATAGTGAATTAGTATTTTATATGGAAGTCAAATACTACAGTGTTTTGACTTCTTTTATGACAAATAATTTCACATTTATCGCTACTTTACATTTCTCTGATACCATTATTTTAACATTATAGAATTCATGTTTGCTGTTCCTAAAGAAGTATGTAAGATTTACCATAAAAAACCTCTGGCGAACGGTTGTTACGGAGCTTACAAAAACCCTTAAGTTTGTTGATAAGCTTATTAATGTATTTGTAAAAATCACTATTTATAGACCGATCGAAAAACTTGATGTTTCACCAGAACATTGCAATAGAGTATATTTATAGATCTTTGGAAAAAAAATACTAACTGCATTTAATTTCATTCCCAACATATTTAAAATAGGGCTTAATATGGCACCCAAAGTTATCAAGTAAATGACCGACAGAACGCGATATTTTTCGCAGCATCTTTTAATTCTAGAAATACACAATTTATGTACTGGAGTATTTTGAACAGTGGCATATAAGTGTATTTGTATTTTTTTTTTTTTTTTTTTTTTTATTTCTTTTTTTTTTCGTACAAATTTTTGTTTGTTTGTCGTACATATTTTTTTAAATTTTGAATACACACTTTTTTTCGTTTTGCAAATGTATTCTTTTTCAGTTTGCATACATTTTATTTAAAATTTGCATACATATTCTTTCTTAGTTTATATAATATATTATATAGTCCGCGGTAACCCAAAGAAAGGTTCTGCATATGGTCTCGATGTGGTTAACATTTGTCACAAGGTGCCTTAAAATCCTTAAGGGGTTTCGGAGATAAGGAGCAGACATGAAACCCAAGTCTTTACCCTTTGACCTGTTGGTGTGACCCCGACCTTGAGCCGGGCACACCTGGCATATATGTTCTGCACATTATCTGGATGTGCTAAAGAATTGACCTAAGTTTCATAATTCTCAATTCTCAGGGGGTGGAGTTGAGTGGTGCATATTCATGGAATAATAACTGATCACCAATCAACAGCCCTTTCCAAATAGACCTTTATATAATTGTATATAATAATAATAAACAATTATTATATAAAATAGTTATAATATGAAAAAATGGGCCGAAAAAGGTCGGCCGAAACCAGACTCCCCCCCCCCCCCCGGAAAACGATTGGCCGATTTCGATTTCAAAAATGGGCAGAAATGTGACCAAACCACTGTGCTAGTTTTATACTCAACTAATCTATGGGCTGTTATGAGATTTGAAGGTTATTTTGATGGGCTTAAATATGTATGGAAAACAGAAATAAAATATGTACGAAAACAAAAATAAAATATGAATGCAAAAACTAAAAAAATATGTATGCAAAACTGAAAAAAATATGTATGCGAAACTAAATAAAATATGTATACAAAACTTATAACAAAAAATTGCAAATGTCACTTTTATGCCACCGTAATTTTTTTATATATGAACACAATTTTTAGATATTTCAAGTGGTAAAATTAATGAAACTTTTATCACTTAAGCATCATAAAGTATTGACCGCCATCTTGAACTCCACCTCAAATATTCCACTGTCGCAGATTGAAAATAAGTCAGTACTCAGTATTTAAGCAGAACTCAGATGACACTTTTAGACCTCTTGAACCCAAAATGCGTTGATATGTAGCATATTAACGCACTTTGGGGTCAATTTCTCGATTTTGACCCCAAAGTGCGTTGGACCCCAAAGTGCGGTGCGAAGTTTAACGCACTTTGGGGTCGAACCCCATAGTGCGTTTGACCCCAAAGTGCGGTGTTACAACGCGCTATGGTATTACGTGTTAGTGTCGTGTTATGATATATTGTCTTCGCGTACAAACACATAGATACTTAGGGGGCTAAAGGAACAATAGGTAACAGTCAATTGCATATGATGCTATTCATTCAATAGACACTATTGTGGCTTTTTGCTCTTTCGTGGCTAAAAGGATAAAGAAGGGACAAAAGGGTAGTCACTTAAATTCCAACATATGAGCACGCCGTAGATAATTGGTTTATGAATAATAAAATAATTTCAGTGATTACCTTTATATTTGCCCTGAATATGTTACATTGAAACCAAAGTTTAGGCAAATGTTTAGAGATATCAACTCATTTTGATAGAGTTATTTCCCTTGTTAAGCAAATTTTCTGTAAATTTTGGTTATAAGGATTACTTTTAAGAGGTTTCATGGTTGCATTTATATTTGATATGTAAGTGTTTAATTGTCGAGATAATCAACATATTATTAAAGTTATTATGCTCCATTTCAATAAAATTTTCTTCAGAAGGATTTCAATGATTATGTTTATATTTGCTAATTTCTAACAGCACATGGATGAAAGCAAATTTTCTCTGCAATCAAAGAATTGTATCTTTTGTCAAAGTTATGTCCGTCCCTTTATATGCAACGAGTTAGTTTAATATTCTATTGCAAAATGATGCACTTTTAAATGGAATCATGTGCAATAACAAAGTGTTATTGTATTATTACTTTATTATTACTGTAGCTTTTTCATTTATAATGCTATATTTCAAATAGGTGAATTTTAATCGAATATATATGATTTATTTCATCGTCTCATTAGGTTATCTTGTTGCTCTATTATTAATTACTTTTCGCTTATTTGCTTTATCTTAAAGACCGAACTTTTTAAAACAATAATAGTTTATTTAGTTTCATTATTGCGTTTCATAGTTGATGGTGGATGGAACGAGTGGAATGAATGGGGACAATGCTCTGTTTCATGTGGGGTAGGACTTCAGAGTCGTACACGATTGTGTACAAATCCATCTCCAGCAAATGCTGGCAAGCAATGCGTTGGACAAAACTTCGATGTTAAACAGTGTTATCAAGACCTTTGTGAAGGTGAGTTTTAAGATATTTGCGTTGTAAAACTTATAACAATAAATGGGTTGTTAACATTGATGTTCTATTGTTGCAATTAAGTTCCAAGTTTACACTTTAATGTTTGTATACAATTCAGTTCAGAGTTTATAGTATTAGAGTAAATCTTATATGAAATATAGTTCAAAATATATATTCTATATACTTGATGCAAACGTCTTGTTGCCATTAAATTGAAATGACAATAGGAGAATGGAAGGCCTGGGAAACATGGAGTAATTGTAGTAGAACTTGCAGTCAAAGACCTCAAACAAGAAAACGAAGTTGTGTAAAACATGCATTTACTAAAGAATGTCAAGGAAATGCAACAGAACTACGAAAATGTGAGGACACAACCTGTTGTGAGTATTGGTTATCAGTCTTTTTCACCAACATAAAAAACAGGATTAACTATCATGATAATGCTTTTGAAATACTTTTCGAGATATAGTACATTGTTAAAACAAGGTACACTCAATAAATCAAAGCAATAAACTAATACCTATCATAATGATATCGGAGAATGAGCGGTATGGCATTTTTTTTATTTCATGCTTTCCACTGTAATATATTAGATGATTATATTCTGATAAACCACTAGTGAAATTTATAAGATATAATTTTCACTGTAGCCGGACTATATCTGAATGCGGATGAAAAGAATAACAGGCAAAATTAAATGCCGTCATACGTAAATGATTCTTCTTTAAGAAAAGAGAGTCGATGTCATCATTTATCATGTTAAAAATGTAAAAAAAAATTAGGGAGATTTAACAGAACTATTTTTCAAAACTTATGATGTGACGTCATGATTTTATGACGTCATAAAGGAGAATGCACGACGTTACGCGGGAAAATCAGTAAAAATAAATAAAATCCCAAACAAATCATGAAATAAAAAGAAACTTTATTTGTTTTACATATACGATTGAAATATATTTCATTCGTAAACCCCAGCTATTCTATTTTCACACGTGGCTACGCCACTCATGAAAATATTGCATCTGGAGTTCACTCCTATCTTACATGCAAAGCAAACATATATCCTCTATGTCTCTGATATTATATGGTATATATGGGATAAGTCAACTGCGTCACATTTTTTAAATAGTTGTCAGTTATCCAGAAAAGCTGTATAGGTGACTTGACCGCAGAGATATTACAAAACATGTGAAATCGTCGTAAAAACAAGACTTACTCAGAAATAAATATAAATTGTCGTTTTATTTAGTAGTATTTATTTCTTATTGGTCTTGTGCGAAACGTTTTACTTCTATTCATCGAAAAAGATATCCAGCTGTTTCTGAACCTTCTTGTGAAAACAAACATAAGTGTTTTTTTCAGCTTAGTAGATAAAATATATCCCGGCATTGGATATTTGGAAATAAAAAATGATAAAGAAAGGATATTTCTTTCAGATGAGGATTGCTATGCCAATAGGAAGAATAGAGGAAAACAACAAAGTGGAGTTTACAACGTACGCCTTTGGAACACAAGTCGAGTTATACCTGTCTACTGTGACTTTGATACAGATACGGGAGGATGGACGGTTACTTTATATTTGTATTTGTTAAAATAGATATAAATGTATATTTCTTTCTAAGCATAACCTTTCACAAAACAGATGCATATACCGTTGTTGTATTTGTATGTTAAGACAAGTTATATTTGAACAATTTTTTCTTAATATTGATACGATAAATAATGAAAGAGAACGAAGACGCAGTGTAAAACAACACAGCGTATATTCAAACAAAATAATTTAGAATGATCCAAACAGGCCAAAATTCACATCATAAGTGTTAGAGAATATATTTTAGTTCGATTGAGTAAAAGCTATAAACTTACGAACACAGACACGAATCATTTCCTGACAGAAATCGGTAATGATTGATTGATGTATTTTTTTTTCTCGTTCAAAGAAAGAACGGCTTTTTACCCAAGTTGTTACAGAGTTTTTGATTATTTCTGCACCACATGTTTATATCATTATAATATGTCTCTTTCATATTGATCTAGCTAGTTTCATACACTTTACCAATTATAATGAACATGCATGTAAATGTTTTGTAAAGACATTCACCAAAGGTATGAAGTTTTGCTTTGAAGTTGTCATTTCTGTACGAATTCCTTCTTCAATATTACATTAAGTCATTATTCTTTCAGGTATTTCAATATCGATTCAACGGCAGCGTTGATTTCTACAGAAACTTTAGTGATTATGAGAGAGGTTTTGGTTCTTTAGACGGTGAATTTTGGTTAGGTTAGTTGGATCTCAGTACACGTAGATTCATTTACCATGCAGTTGTTTGCATGCTTTCCTTGATATTTTCGTAAAATCTTCTATCTAATTCCTTTCACTTTATGTAGCTGAAAGCTTCAAAGTTGGGCTAATAATTAAAAGTGTAGAACTAAAACCTCCCACAAATTATGCAAATTAGTATTTCCCCCGTAACAATTAAGACCGAATTATTATATATCGTTTTTACGTCAATGGTTTATCATTTCGACAAACATGAGTTTCTTTCTCGTACTCTAACAAGACAAAATGAATTATTGAGAATGCAGAGGGTATGTTCAAAATTGGATATAACTATTGTCTATTTATAACGACCAATGATTTTTTGTGATTGATTAGCTGTCTTTTGGAATAAAAGCAAAGATAACAGTATATCAACAAAAATGTTAAGTTTATTTCGCAACCAACAACTTAAAATTCTATTTCTAAAGTTTTTATGTCTTTATAATGCATCACATAGTTAAACATAAATCATTGTTTATCGTATATCCAAATATGACACACCCTAGATGTCTATTATATTTATGAGGTAAATCCGGAAAAAAATAAATAAGGGCATCTAATTGATAACACTTAAAGAAAATACATTATCTTGGAACACTACCCTTTCCCCATAAATAAAAACGGTAGCAGGTATAGAACAAATCAATGATATATTTGTTTTATTATAATTACATTTTACAAATGATTTAACTTCCGGATTTGAACATTACTGGCCGAGTGGTTAAGGTCGTTGACTTCAAACCACTTGCCCCTCACCGCTGTGGGTTCGAATCCCGACAGGGACTTTTGATTCTTTCATGTGAGGAAGCTATCCAGCTAGCTTACGGAACGTCGGTGGTTCTACTCAGGTGCCCGTTCGTGCCTGAAATAATGCACGGAAGGGCACCTGAGGTCTTCCTCCACCAGTAAAGCTGGAACGTCGCGATATGACCTATACTGTGTCGATGTGACGTAAAACCCAAAAACAAAAACAAAACATTACTATTTCTCCGTCTGATAAAAATAATATGAAAGTGGCATACTGTTCCAAGTTCGGCTGAAATAACGTTTTATTATGAAATGGTTATTGACCACCGGTTGAAATTGGAAAATGTTTGGGATTAATTACTAGTTATGCATTTAAATATAAAAAGACTGGCCCATACTTTTACAGATCAAACGTTACAGTTTAATTGCGCTGGATATAAGATACTTTTAAAAAAATTCATTGGGCCACCAATCCATCGTGCAAAGTGAATTACGAAATTGAAAGCAACTTTTGCAAATTATAAATTTTATTTTGACTTTTTACATTTTCACTCACTATATAGCTGTTGACAGACATAGTGCCATGTAATACCGCACTTTGGGGTCAAACGCATTTTGGGGTCCGACCCCAAAGTGCGTTACGTACTTTAATCAATAGGGGTTTAAATGGTCTTGATTAGTAAGTGAAGAACTTTCACTAAATAAATCACCAAATAAAGAATTTGTATCAATTATTTAGCTTAAAATATGTTTTTCTCAAATTTTCCAATGTACACCTCCATTGTTTTTAGCAAAATGCATCATTTTCCCGTTTGTTATTTACACTTTTTACAGAAATATGATAGTTATAGCATAGACAAAGGTATAAATTCTGGGTAATCTTAGTAAGACATTTCAGTAATAAATTTGCCTGATAATATGTTAAAATAGCCATTTATTTAGCTAAATGTGACACATAAGAAACTTGACTAGGTGCAGATGCGGCTTTAAGTAATAGTTCGTACAGGCAGAAATAAAAATATCAACTAATTAAGTAGTCGCACACTAAGAGCGGAGCTTCAGAATAATGTAAAATTCTCACTGGGGGTAAAGAGGGGGGGTGTGGGATATCGATCCCCCGAGGGTTGAAAATACATTTTAAAGGCCCATTATGCTTTTATTTGTTTTTCGTAAAAGCTTTTTTTTTATGTTCTTTTATATTATCAAAAAAATACACATTGGCGAATTACCGGAAATCTTTTGATTTTTGACAATGATGAGTACCGTTATGGTGAATAAGTCAAATACTACATTGTTTTGACTACTTTTATAAATAATTTCACATTAATCGCTACTTTATTCAGGTAACAAGCAACTTACATTTCTCCGATACCATTATGTTAACATTATAAAATTCATGTTTACTCTTTGTAAAGAAGTATGCCTGTAAGATTTCCCATTAAAAAAGCCTCTGGCGAACGGCTGTTACAGAGCTTACAAAAACCCTTAAGTTTGTTGATAATCTTAATAATGTACTTGTAAAAATCACTATTTATAGTCCGATCGAAAAACTTGATGTTTCACCAGAACATTGCAATAGAGTATATTTATAGTTCTTTGGGAAAAAAATATTAACTGCATTTTATTTCATTCCCAACATATTTAAAATGGGGCTCAACATGGCACCAAAAGTTATCAAGAAAAGGACTGACAGAACGGGATAGTTTTCGCAGCGTCTGCACTGTTTCGGGGCATCAGGCAGGAATGTTATTATCTGAATATCCCCCGCATGGCGAAGATTTTACCAGTAGTCGGCTTGGTTTAATGTCAATGCCCCCCCCCCTCCGCTATTCTCAGAGGTGGGGTTGAGTGGTGCATATTCATGGAATAAAAACTGATCACCAATCAACAACCCTTTCCAAATAGACACTTATATAATAGTATATAAACCAGACTTGCGCGGCCAAAAACGACTGGGCCGATTCCAAAAATGGGCCGAATGGTGACCAAACCACTGTGCTAGTTTTATACTCATATATGGGCTATAATGAGATGCGAAGTCTGTTTTTATTGGCTAAAATATGTACGAAAAACTAAAAAAAATATGAAAGCAAAACTGAAAAAATAGGTATGCAAAACTTAAATAAAAATATGTATGCAAAACTTAAATAAAAATGCAAATGTCACTTTTATGCCACCGTTATTTTGTTATATGAACACAATTTTTGGATATTTCAAGTGGTAAAAATAATGAAAATTTCATCATTTAAGCATCATCAAAGAATTGACCGCCATCTTGAACTCCACCTTAAATAATTCAAAGTCGCAGATCGAAAATAAGTCAGTACTCAGTATTTAAGCAGAACTCAGATTACACCTTTAGACCTTTGGAACCAAAGTGCGTTGATATGTAGCATGTTAACGCACTTTTGGGTCAATTTCTCGATTTTGACCCCAAAGTGCGTTTGACCCCAAAGTGCGGTGCCAAGTTTAACGCACTTTGGGGTCGGACCCCAAAGTGCGTTTGACCCCAAAGTGCGGTGTTTCAATGCCACTTTAATTTAAATTAAAGAAAAACTCAGAAAACTTTTCATTATGTGAGAGGATGGGCATATCGAGGAATTTCTCTTACTTACACATGTTCTTTATTATCTTTATAATGACAGTTGTGTTTTTCCATGCATTTCATGCAGATATTAAAAACATCTCGCCTCAATTGTTCGCTTTTTTATCAAAAATGGATTGCTTTTTGAGGTTGCGGTTGTGATATACATGTAGATAAAACATTGTGTGAGTCTATATTGTCCAGGATTATTTTAACATCACTATCGGCTTTAAATGTTATAAAACATATTGCAGTTATAAAAATGTAAAGTAAGATTATGTATGTCATTATCAGTGATTATTGTTTTTTAAGATTTTAGGATCGTTGAATATCGGTCGTCCGTCAGTCCACATTCAGTTTGTTAACACTTTGGTGGTCACATTTTTGCCACAATTGTCATAAAACTACGCCAATATGTTTGTCTATGTAATTGCCCGGATGAGTTCGAACATGAGTCATCTCGTATGAAAAACTAGGTCATATGAGCTAAAAAATAAAAATCTTGTTAACACTCTTGTGGCTACTGTTTTCATCCAAATATCCTGTAAATTGATCAGAAAGGTTGTTTTAATGATTTCTTGTTCAAATTAAAATATGGGTCACCTGGGGTCAGAAACTACGTCAAGCAGACGAAATATGGAAAAAGCACATTCTTAACATTCTAGGGGCAACTGTTCCAAATATCCGAAAATAAATTAAAGGGGTATCAAACAATGTTGGAATTATATTGTTGTTTCATCTTATAATTAATTCAAGCATTACATACATTACTGTGTAGAGTTAAAACGTTTAAACGGATTACAGAGAATTTTCCTTAGACATCGTGACATGTGGACCTTGTACTGTGATACGTATCGTATCATGAGGTGAGCGTATAGTTACACCCTTAGAGTGGAAATTGGTCATAAATGTTGTTAATATGATGATTTGTAGGGCAAGATCGAATATTGGTCACTTGGCGTCAAAAACTAGGTCACACAGGCTAAATATGAAAACACATTATTAACACCCTAGAAGTTGTTTTGATCAAACTATTCTGGAAATTGGTCAGAAAGATTGTTTGGTGATTTCCAGGTCAAGTTCAAGTAGTGGTCACCAGGAGTCAGAAACTAAATAACACCTTCCAAATATGGAAATACCTTGTTTAACATTTCTTGTCTAAATGTCCTGGAAATTGGACAGAAAGTTGTTTTTATGATTCCTAGGTCGGTATAATTATGTATTACCTGGGGTCAAAATCTAGGTTACACAGCCTTAGTGCGGAAAAACCTTGTTAACACTCTTTTGACCCCTAACAAACTGGAAACTTGTCAGAAATGTTGTTTTGGTGATTTCTAGATCAAGAGCGAATATGGGTCATTTTTTGTCAATAACTAGGTCACACAGCCAAAATATAGAACAAGTGGTGTCACTCCAAATTTCTGGGAAATTGGTCAGAAAGATTGTTATAATGATTTCAAGATCAAGTTTGCATATTGGTAACCTGGGGTCAAAAGAAGGTCACACAGCCAAAATAAAAAACCCGTGTTTTCATACTAGAGGCTACTGCTTCAATCAATTTTTTAAGGAAATTGGTCAGAAAGGTTGCTATGATGATTTCAAGGTCAAGTTCGAATATTGGTCACCTTTTCACCTTGTGTCAAAAACTAGGTCACAGTCACACAGCCCAATTATGTAAAATCTTTGTTCCTATCCAATTATCCCGGACACTTGGATTAAGCCTTCATAATCAGGTGAGCGGTAAAAGAGCTATCATGTCCCTCTTGTTTTAATTTTTAATCATAATTATGATTTAATTTTCACAGTTGTTCATGATTGAACTGTTTTGCTTTGTTTCTATAAAACAATTCATTGAAACCAGAGCTAAATTTTACTGACTACCTACGCTGAATCTATGAAAATGGTCTATCTGAAAAGACAGCATTTCACCACAAATTTTCTAGTGTTGCGCATGGTTGTTTGCAATGTTTAAATATGTTCCATATTTTTACAGTAATAGTTTTAATTTCAGTACAAAATACATATTTGTATATTCAATCTTAAATATTCTTAATATACTAATGACCAATCATAATTGGAACTATAAAACAATGACATGTTTGATATTGTTAATATCATATCTATGTTCCTGGTATAATTCATTATGACATCAACCGTCATGTGTACGTTTCATTAAGCAATAAAATATGCATGCACTTTCATTTGACATTATAGATAATTATAGTGTTTTTGTGAAAGACTGTCATTTATAGGAAATATATTTTTGCTTAAATGCATGACTGCTTACTTAGAATTCTTCTGAGATAAATTAAAGACAAAGATATATAAAAGTTTTCTTGTTTCCAAACATAGGATGAGGGCACAGTCACTTCTAGCTGACCAATAAATAATTAATTCTGTGTTACTCAGAATTAAAGAATTGAATTCCCGGTTGAAGCACTAATATTCAATTTAAATCAATTATTGGAACTCTTCTAAAATAACATCAATATCAAACATGACAGATTTATTGTTGAACTTCGTATATCTGTAAATCTAATTTCTCAGTACAGTCCCACATTGCGACATTACATACACATATTTGCATGTACATGTACAAAAATAACTGTCGAATTATTTTGATGAATACTGATTGTAAACTTTTTAAATGTGAGATACAAGTTCTTATTGGATAGTTCCTTACTATTTCAATATAACAAAGATGACGTCACAAAATTTATTTAAATAATATTGTCATTAAGTGATACTTTCTCTTAGTCAGGCAGGTATGAGTATGAGCTTGAATTTTATCAGATATTTCTGAAAAAGAAACTTTTTATCCAGGCCTTGAAAATATCTACGAAATGGTTTCCCGAGGAAAAACAGAGTTGAGGCTGGATCTGACGGCAGCTGACGGAACATCTGTATACGAAACATTTCAGAATTTTAGACTAGAAAAAAGACCGTATTATACTCTTCATATCGACAAGGGAGTCGGTACTGCAGGTATTCATTGACATCTTCGATTCTAAATTTAAATTGTTGTTTATAGAATTTACAAAAATATAAGTTGTATAATACCATATTCAGTTCATAACATCATTAACAGTAACAAGAACTTAGCAATGTCCTGATAAGTAAAATGTGTATCATTGACTTATAGTATTGTTTTGTTTTCAATACAGGCGACTCACAAGGTTTATCATACAGCAATGGTAGTCATTTTTCAACTGTCGACATGGATCGTGATCGATACAGCAGAAATTGCGCTATAGACGAACATGGTGGATGGTGGTATAATGAGTGTTCTTACGCAAATCTAAACGGTAAATATTTTACTCCTGGAGCACAAGGACGTGGGATGATATACTACTCATTTAAACGCATTGAATCACTCAAGGTCTCCAAAATAATGTTCCGGCGGGTGTAAATGCATCATGATCAAATATTGCAAGGAAATGACAAAAATTAATATTATTTTCAAACTAGTGATTGTTTCTTATGTAAATTATATGTAAAACATGATTCGAAGGCAATAACTTTAAATTTGTCTATTAAAATACCAACACAAATTTATAGAATAACTTGATGTGCAGAAAAAAACATAAGTAAACTACCATGGCGTAAAATATATTGATGTCATGATGTCATTGTGGATACTTTCACTTATTAATCTAAGACATGAAAAAAGTTAGATCTACATAAAGACATTCCGTAAATAACATATCTGAAAACATATTGTACGAATGTGTTTGTATATATCATGTGTATTCACAACAGCAACAATATATTTCAACATAAAGTATATACCTCTTATTGTTAATTGCTAAATCTATATGAAGATCTTTTGTTAATATCTCTCTGAAATCATTTTAACTATATTATGAACAATTATTGTAAAAATGTCTTACACTTTACCTATATTATGTAATAATGGCTATTTGCTAAATTAGTTAAATGCCAAATAAAATATTGAATTGAATTTTGAATTGAATTGAAAAAAATCTTATATCAATCTACTGCTATATATACTTAAAACTTGTGGTATGTTAATCACGCATTTCCAAAGCCGTGTCAAAGTAGGTTATTTAAAAAGGGCAAAGAAAAGAAAGAAAAAGGCCTTATATAATACCAAAAATAATGTCTGTTTATACTAGCAAAATTCTTGTGTTATTGAAATATATATTGTCAACTAATCAATTTAAAAAAAAGAATTAAATGTTGTTTTTTATCATATGCTGATCTTCTGTATACTATTATAATAAAGGATTCGATGTTTATGTTCTATATTTCTATTTGTTCTAACATTTAAGCTGCATTTTATAAATATTTAAAATTATTTTGTCGTGGGCATGAAAACAAGCAGTCTGCACTTTAAACCTTTTTAACAATAGTGATATTGATCCAATCAAAATATTGTTCAGAAATTAGATTTTAAAAGGAAAAACACATGGTATTACTAAATGTTCGTATACGAATTTCAGCATGAAAATGACGAATATAATGAACTTTTATATGCGCTACATGACAGTGTTATACTTTAAACAATAATAGTAAAATCAACAGTACAGTACACGGCAAATGTTGGGTGACTGTAAAAACAAACTTTTACCGTTTTAGCTTCGCGGTATGTAATGACTCTTGATTATGACACAATCAGAATGCAGATTTTAACATTAAAAGGCTCATTTTCCCCCAAAATAAGAACTGCAGTCGATATGAAACCCATTTTATTAACTAAATGTAGCTAATAATGTTCTTATGATATCTATTAATGCATCTTTAGGTTTGGTATTTTTTATTAACATACATAAAGGTTGTAACACTGTAACAATAATTACATGTACATGTATAGATGTGTTTACAAATTAAAATGAATTTAGCTATTTATTTTTTAATAATTATTTTTCTGAGAAAACAATCACAATTTTAAAGGTCCTGAAGACATTAAAATAATAAGCGAGTTCGTACAAAAATAACAAAATGTACACTTGGATTTATACTTATATATTATTTATCTGCTTGGTTTGGTTTAAACACGATTTCGAAACAAGTTCTTGCAACTTATATTAATCACTTTCGAGTCCGTTTCCTGGAACCAACCAGTACTGGTGTCATATGAAGAAACATGGTCGTGACCCGAGTAGGGCTCGAACCCATGATCTCTGGGTTGAGAGGCAGACACCTTAACCACTAGGTCGCCGCTCCCCTTCTGCTTATAAGGTCGCACTCGTGTGTAAATCGGGCTCTTTAATTTAGGGTTTAATTTTAAGCTTTTGTGGTTGTTTGTTTGATCTTATTTTTCGCACTAATAGTTTTGTTTAAGTAATTTGACGACTTTCCAGAATAGAAGAGGAAGAATACCTCAGTTTTTGCACTGTGTACCCGTGCAGAACCATCGACGTTCTATTAGCTTCCTCATTTGAAAGAGTGGGCTTCGAACCCATCGCGGTAAGGGAAAAGTAATTTGCAGTTTTCGAATTTAAAACCCCGATAACGGACATATTAATTAGGTGTATATAACGAAATGCATGAAAACATGTTACTCAGTCAAAACAATTGTCTTCTTCGTTTTTATTTCCTCTTCTCTTTTTTCTATTTTTTTTCTGAGATTTTTATGATCGAAATGAATCATTTTGAATTATACCGAACTACAATTATTTAGTGTATCTGTCAGGGACTTCTAAAAATGACTGCCTTTCGCTTTCACAGTTGGATGATATTTTAAAACATGTACTAATTCCATATTTAATGCTTCTAAATGCTTTAAAAATATAAAATCGGACATAAAATTTACTATGTATAATGTATACGAAAAATACGTTAGCCAGTACTTTTTATATAGTGACTGATCCATTACAATGAAAAAGGGATACGTTTCTTCAATTAATTTGTATGACTGGTGAACGTGTACTTGAACATGTATTCATCAATGTGAATATTAAAGTTTGTTTCAATCGTTTTACTGTATTCAATCACCAGTCAACGTATAGTACGACTTGAATTAGATGAAATAATTTTGAAACACAGGCGTACACTTCTCATACGTTCTTCATCGCCGTTTCCACAAGTCACACGTGACAAATGCAGATGATAAATGATACTCATATGTATTCAGAAAGTTAAATGAGTGTATATTTAACACACCAACTATTGAGCAAGTTGTAAAAAATCATATTATTGGAGCCTTTGCGGCTAACGGTGAAACAAAGTCATTTTTCATCGACGCACCAAAAGTGTAATGTAAACTTTGTGCCCCTTAACGCTTTGTTTCTGTATTATGCAATTGACGTTACGTTAAGGTGTTATAACACTTTATTACATACTTTTCGGTGGTTTATAGAAATATATCAGTGATATAAAACTGGTAATTTCACTGTTTGAAACAGTGAAATTACCACTTTGATAATTTAACTGTTTTGAATTTAAGCCCCTTACGTTGTTTCAGTCAAATACCAGCGTTCACAGTACTGGGAACCAACTTAATGACGTGACGTCGTAAATGACGTCACGTTGTATTATATTTGGCGCGCTTTTCATTCAGTATTAGGTTTAATGTCTTTTTAAAACTTTTCTTTGCATATAATAAAAAGAAAATTTGTTAAGTTTAATGTAAGATCGAAATATATTTCACCTTGTGAACACCAAAAGTTCATATTTCACTCGTGGCTGCGCCACTCGTGAAATATACCTTTTGGTGCTCACTCGGTGAAATATATTCCGATCTTCCACTGAACTAAACAAATATCCTCTATATAAAATAGTTATACAACGCAATATCAAAATGAAAATTATTTGTGGATTATTGGGGTGGGGGCTGTATAATAGGCGGCTACGGTCATAGATTCGTCTGACCAAGGCTATTTAAAATTATTTGAATTAGATTCTATATCAAAAGATTAACTGTTACATGGATTGATGAATTGATGGTGTAATATTTACAGCCATTCAAATTCTATGTTCAATGTCATCAAGACACACTTATTTTCACGCTTTTAAATTATCTATAATGCCTTACCGCTCTTGTTCAATTCAGCAACTTGAATTAGCTATACAAAGCACGAGATATTTTTGTTATGTCATATGTTTTGTAAATTATTGTTGACATAGATCTAATAAAAACATTATTTCGTCAGGTGTCCATTTTGAGATTTATAAACATTTTGATGTTTGGAACTGAAAATGGACCGTTCTTGAATTATGGATTTGGAACATACTGAACTATCATGTGTTTCATTTAAATAATTTCATTTGTTAGCCGAGATATTGAACAATATAATTTTAGAGTCTAGATCTAATAATGGTTTAAATAAATCTTGATCACAGTTCGTTAGATTAAGATAAATCATGATATTCAGTCAGACATAGGATTGAAGGAATCTTCCGAATGTGAACGGGATTGTGTCGTTTAGAAAGATCTAGTTCGAAATTCATCGGGATTCTTTTGCGCTTAAAAGTCAGTAAATTCTAGTTCATGCGACATTGTCTTCCTGTTGTTTAATAATTATGTTTTCTTAAAAAGTTTTCAGCATGCACCGCAATTAAATTGTTACATGTTGTAAATATAACTTTATAAAATAATTATCAAACGACCCCGAGATCCTCATGTATATTTTAGAAATATAAGACGTGCTTTCTCCCGTTCATCTCCAAATAAAGAGTACTTCGGCAATGGCTACGAAAAATACACAACAGATATTTTCCATAGAGAAATCAAAGTTTGCTTTTACAGGAAAAGTAGAGACTTTAGAGAAAAATTCTGAAAAATCTCGAGGGTGACTTTATTTTAGCTTACAAAAATGGTTTATTCTTTATTCAACCTCGTTTTGTAAATTCATACCAGAAAACAGTTCATTTCTATTTTGATTGGGACAGACTATATCGTTTTATTTAATGGCTTAAAAGACACTTTTGCCTTGTTTGGTGTGATTAAAAGAGGAAACTGAAAGATTATGGAACGAGTAGACTAAATCATATATTGCGAAACTCTGGCGAGCATAATATTCTTTTATTATACAGGTTTAATAAACTTAGTATTTAATTTAACGTCGAATGCAATATTTCATTAACCAAAGATCCAAAGTTACAAAGATATGTTGTAAAAAAGAGTCATTGTTCGTGCGCTTATAGTGTAACGGTAACATCATCGCGCTTAAGGGCTAAGTTTGTATGTTATACCGTTTTTTTTTTTCAATTTTATAAACTGTCTTAAAAATTAGACAATAAATATATCACATATAGAAAGCATACAATCCGTAATTATCGGACACGGTCATTGGGTAAACATAGATCTATTGTACCGTTTAAATGTTTTGGGGACCAAATATGAGGCTTTGGCCCGTATTCAGAAACGATACTTAATCTCAATCTCGACTCAAACCTACGAAAGGTCGCCTCAAGTAACGCTGGAGTAGACTTACGGTAAGTAACTCACAAAGTGAAAAGTGGTATTCGTTTTGTTTACTCTACCTTACCTCTCGTGAGGGAGACTTGAAAAATGAAAGATCAGTTTTATTGCATAACATCATTCAATATACATTGTAAAAGTGTAATCATGTCGTTTAAGAGTGTATTTCACTGAATTGAAACAATTTTGTTAAAAAAATTATAATTAAAAATCTTAATTTAAAAGAAAAAAAAAGAAAGAAAAAAAAACTATTTTAAAATAATTATATGTTCGATAAAACAAAAGCATGAGGAGAAATTTAAAGAGTATGTAATAGTTTTCAAGTAGTAAATGCCATAATAGCAAAATAATGTTGGAAAACCTTAAAGACAGGACGAAAAAATAAAGAAGCTAAAGAAAGTAGTGAAAGGCTTATGACAGGCATTAAGATCTGAAAAAAATACATTTCAATAGCGTTAACTTTATTTTGAAAGTAGCATCCAATTTTTTATGCAATACACAATTATGTTTCCCTTTTGTAATCATTTTATGACATTTTAAAGGCCCATTATGCTTCAGAAATTCTATCAATTTTGTTTCTCAAAATTTCAACTTTTGCAAAGGGTATAATCATATTGCATTATCATTTTACATTGAAGTCAAAATACTACAATGTTTACATTTTTCTACCATCATAACACATTACTGCACGTTTGTAGCAACGCTATATGTCGCAACGCCGTTATATGTCGCAACTAACGCTAAATGTCGCAACGCTGACGCTATATGTCGCAATCAACGTTATATGTCGCAATCGCCTACCGCTAAATGTCGCAACGTTGCCGCTATATGTCGCACAAAAAATGATTGCCGCTAAATGTCGCAACCCCTTG